TTCACTGATGCACGGTATTATTTGAAAAACATAATTTAGAAGCTGAGCTGCAGTGATTACCCCTGTCTTTCATTAAATAAAGGATTAGCACTTTTATTTACTGAAAAGAGACAGATGTCTGTCAGAGTTTTTGATATGCAGTATACCAAAAAAATTAATGAACTTCACAGATGTTTTTATTTCTATTTACTGAAGTGCTTCAGTATTTTCTTAGTGTATATGAAATAAAATAAGAGACAATTTTCTCTATTTTGGAATAATAAGAATTAATAGGACATGAAGTATTCAGCACAATTTATTTCTGATGATAAGAAATATCTTGTTTCCTTGGCCAAGAAATTAGTAACCCTTTTTTTTTCCTATTATTTTATCTTCTCTGGAGAGATGCTTTGCTTCACTAGTCCCAGGGTTGATAGCACTGAAAAATATGACATCTAGACCTTTCCTTTGAAAAGACCAAAATACAATTCATGATTGCATGGAGGCATACAAAATATTAATTGAGATCTTTCTAGGTATTGGGCACTGGAGATGCAATAATAAATAAAATCAAAACATAGATTTGAATTCCAACTCTACAACTTATTAACCAAAGAGTCATGCATCTTTGTACCTGTAACATAGCTTGAAAAGTTAAGATAATGAGAATATCTACCCCATAAGTTTGCTGTGGGATATTTAAATTAGTTTTGTATGCAAAACTTTAGTGCAATATATGGCACATGACACATGCTTATCGAACGTTCTTATAACAGATACAGTGCCTGCTCTCAGGGAGATTTCATTTTAAGTATTTTGTCCTCTAAAGTGTACTCCTCTGTGGATTTGACTGACAAAAAGGAAGTGAAGAACAAGAATGCAATAAACAGTATTTCACTGAGTTTACATTTTGTGAGAACCAGTAATATTAGACAAATGACAAGACTCTACTACATATCAGGGTTAATCTTGGTCAAATCCTTTAACCTTTTGAGTTTTGGTTGACTTATCTCTGATACAGAATTAAGATATATCACTTCACAGTGTTGTTTGAAGATTTAAAACAAGCAATCCATGTGAAATTTTTTTTTAATTATAAAGTTCTATACAAGTATGAAGTATTATTATGGACTTTTGGTTATCCACTGATAGATGACTTTGTTTGTGGATGATGCACAAGCAAATTTTCATCCAAGACTAATTCTTTTATTATTTACCTAGTTTTACCATCTTCCTAACTGCCCAGCTGGCTTGTGATAAGGATTCCCAAATGTATTTTAATTGTCTAAGCCAATGTAGCCAAGAAAATATTCTGTTTCAAACACTACTATATTCTAGTGAAAAAAATATTTATTTATAAATTATTTAATACCTTATAGCCATCTTATGTTCCCCATAGTGGATATTTATTTATATATTACAGAAATAAAGAGGCATCATTGAATTATGACACTCTACTCATTTGGAACATTTAAATTGTAGATAGAAAATATATCATGTGATTTATAGTTTAAAAGAAAAGAAAATTTAAGCTACATTAGAATTAGGTACAATTTTATACTTCTTAGTTAAGGCACTAACGATTTTTGGCACACAACAATTTTATTTCTTTGTAATTTGCAATGCAATTTTAAAAAGCTTGGCAATGCATGCATATGCTCTCTCATCCATACCTTTTCTAATTAAAGTACGCAATTCAAAAGTATGACATACAGCACAGATATGAATAGAACTAAAAACATCTTATTTTCTAAACAATAACATAACTATATATTATATCTATTTTATGAACTGTTGGGAAATGAAGGGAAATTGTACTTGTCTTTTTTTTTTTTTCCTGTTTCTTCCTTTTGTATAAAAAGAAGAATAAGATTACCCTTAGTTTGAATTTGTCATTTACTCTAACCACAGGATATAGCTTATGACATTAAGTTTGACAAAGGATAACAATGAAATCACTTTAAGGAAATGTATAAATGTATTTGCAGAGGCTGAATAGACAATAAAAATAGTTTGAAGATTAAAAGTAAATAGAGAAAAGGAGAGAAATTAGTTCCAAAGAGGTTTGGAAATGAATAATGACAGCTATAATGTTAGAATTCAGGATATTGGACCAGACCATAAGACAGGAGGTCCTGAAGAAGGCCTATAACAGGTGTCATCATACAATTTATTTATAATTTTATTACAGAGAGGAGAGAAGGGAGTATTTTCAGCCTGTATATTTACATCATTACAGGCTGTTTTATAGCAACAAATTTTTCTTGCCGAAATTCCCCTGAAGACCATCTATACATTTTTTTCTTCTTTTCCTTTTTTTTCCCCTCCAGTTTTACATTTAATGAATTGGAGATACATATTGCTCATAAATTTTACTTTTCTCCCTGTCCACTGAAATATTTAAGGACATGATACAGATAATGCATTGTACATATGATTCTATATAGTAAATTCAATTTTGTTTCGCCACTTTTTTCTTTTTACTACATGCTTAAAATATCAAAGAGCAAAATTAATCACCTTTATTTGGATTATTTATTAATTCTGTAGATGTTTACTAAGTATTTATAATGTATCCACTGTGAGGGATACAGTGGTAAGCATGTTTCTTGTACCCATGCAATTTGTTTGTTTATTTGTTTCAGCGGAGAGAAGCTTCTAGAATCAGAATTAGATGATGGACAATGACTGGCTAATCTTAAATGTTACCAAGCCTTTCAATGACAAATTATGTTTGCCTTGCCAGTTTTTATTATTGGAATATGATTTGTGTATGCTTGTATCAACTTAAATTATGAGATTATTTTACTTCCGTTTTGAAAATGGTAAATAAATGATAAATTAGCTACAACCAGTCATGACATAGGCAAGACCATAATAATTTTATCCAAAGTAGAATTGCCTAATAAATCTTAATTTTGAGTAACCAGCAAGTAACAGAGGCAAACATTACTTGTGCTACAACTTATGTCGATATCTCTGAAATTAGACCAGGACCAGAGAATTAAAAGCAAAATTTTACCTAATGACAATTGAGAAAATAGAGGAGTAAGTTCTTTGAAAAATAATTTTTAAAAAGCCCATTAAAGTATAAGACAGTATTTACTTTCATCACATATCTCTTCTTCCTCAAGTATTTGTCAAAGAAAAATACCAGTCCCAGTCACCAAGAAGTTAGGATATTTGCCCTTAAATATAAGACGGCCTTATTTAAATGAAATAAGACTAAAGTTCTGTGAATATAAACTTTACATTTTAGAATATAAATATCTCTATTTATAATTGTCAAAAGGATATATATTTAGAACTATTTCAAAAAATGAAATTAGTTCTTAAAATTATTTTGTAGGCTAGTCTTTGAAAAATGCTGACTTTAGTATGACTTTACACTCCCAAACTCCATCTTCACTGTACTGGGTCCAAATTTTTGAAACTATTGATTAAGTAATTCTTTAAGGTCCTTGGTTATGCTGCTTCTAGTCGTCAATCTGAACTCATGTTTGATAGTGTTCTTGTCATAGCATGAATTGCATCTTTTAGGTGAAGCTTTTAATGACCAATAATGAATCATACAGTCCAGAGAACACTGCAGTTACTCAGTAAATATTAATTGAGGATGATGATGAATTATAACAGTGTAATAGTTTTTAAGAGACCTAGAAATACTGTTAAAAATAAGATTTATAAATTAGTGAGATAAGGAATCTGAAAAAGATAATCTTATTTGTAACTTCCTAAGCATATTTGTGATATATAGGAATCTTGTCTTCTAGCATATAAGATATTGAGGTTTCAAAAAAAGTCAATGAAGAGAAGTGAGCATGATTTTTACAGTAATTGAAGACATGAGTTTAGGTCAAAGCACAAAAGTTTCACCCAAATATAATTACCCCAAACATTTCTCCCTTGTTTTGAAACTTTCCTAGAACTTCAAATGTATTTATTATGCATGTCTCACTCAGTCCATCCCTTCCACTGAAATTATCTTTGACTTATATCACTTGCAATCTGATTTTTAAGTTTGTGTTAGGCACCCCTTTGTCTTCTTTTTTCCATTGTCCTTTTTTTCCTTTTTGTGATCTAGGCAAATTGTTTCCGATGACAGTTTTTTATAGGCTAAAGAAGATACTACTTGAATATGTTGCAGTTTTCCAGAATTTCCCCTGACTTGTATTGATCAGTACCTTAAAAATAATAACGGAATCTAATTTAACCGTAACTTGTTTGAGGATCTCAATTTATTCTTACAAGAGTCTGTTGAAAGGCTAAGTTAAGAATTTCAGAAGAGGCCAGAGCAGGGTTTCACTATTTATCCCAACCTTCTGATATAGCTTTTTCTAAAAGACAGTATTTTTCCACAATAATATAAAATATCGATGAGAGCTAATAATATAAAAATTGACGAATGGGAGTAAGAGTGCTTTTTAAATAAAGATTCTAAATCCATTTTTTTCAGAGTGAGAGCATTCCCTGTTAATGTGTAGCCTTATGTTGTGCATTTCTCATAAGACTGACAAACTCTGGAAAATCTTAGGCCTTAGGAAATAAGTCACTGAGTTCTTCTGAAGAGTTCTTGAGATGGGTAAAAAGCAAGACTATTATTATGTTAAATAGTGGTATACACTTTAGCATTTCCTAAATAAGACTAGCCAAAACTATTTGAAAGCTTTTTGTGTATGTTACCTATCTGCCTTTCAAATGTAAATTGGTGTTCATATTAATATTTGCTGTATCTATACTTGGGAATGGTATGTTTATTAAATCTTAGCTTGATTAACTTTTGTGTTATTTTTTCCAAGTTTGTACTGTATTTTTAAGCTTATAATATGATTGCTTTAAAAAATAATTTTGCTAGAGGAGTGGGTTTGTAAAAAACCCATAATGTTCAATAAAGCAAGTATGAGTGAAATAAATTATTTACTTTCGGTTTGGAAGAGGTGAATAAAAAGTGCTTGGCCAATATCGTACCATTAATCTATTCTCTTTTCTCCTTTCTCTCTTTACTTCTCTCTCTCCAATAGAAGTGGAACAAAAAGGTAATTAAATACCTTTCATAAATTATATACTATTTATAGGCTAAGTTATTTAACAGTTTAACATTTAGTTAAAATAATTTTGTTATTAATTCTTATCTATTTTATGAAAATTTATTTACTACTTCTGCTGCTCAACTTCACTTTAATCTGTTGTACTGACCAGTGCTGGTTTAATTCTTTTATCCTAAAAGAATTTAATAGTGTAAAATTTTCAGCCATGTATTTTATTTTATTCCTCATTATTTTTAAAAAAGTAGTTAGAAATCCAGTAGATGGTGATGGATAGTGATTGCTTTAGATTTGTTTTTATTTCTATTCTAGATAATTTTCCATAGCTTTGGTATAGTTTCCCTTTAAAAAAAAATTAACTATTGGAGGAAAAGGGAGATGGTTTTCTTAAAATACCTTAAATTACTTTAGTAACCAAGGGCTGATTATTAACTAACATAAAATTTATATACAATTTTGGTAACAATGCCTACCCATCCTTTATAATTATAACTATCATATTAGAATCCTGAGAAATTCTAATCATTGATTTTATTATTGAGCATAAATTGTCAATAGCCCTCTATCCTTGATATGGAAAATTTTGATAGTCAACTTTTCCCCCAAACTTTTTATTTCTCCAAAAGTAAAACTTTGGGCACTTTAACAATATACTTTGTACTTTCCTTTTTAATAACCACCCAATCCTAGCTGAGTTTCATCTTAGACTGTTTCCGCTGGATCTAGATTTATAGTTTCTGTTAAAGAGCTGATCACTAATATCAAGAATATAATACTTTTTTCATTAATCATTAAAATATAGGTAAACATCCAAATTTTTTGATTTTCTAATTTCTCTTCCCAATACATTTGTGATCATTTCAAACATAACAGTGTACTGCATGATTATTTTTCAGTGTGTTTGCTTTGCAAAAATATTAGAGCAATGTTTCCCTTAGGTTGAGCAGAATACTGCACTCCAAAGCGGCTCCATAGAAAGGGTTCTGTGTTCAAATTAGCTGGCAAATTTTGCTCAACCTCCTACTTCTGCTTTGGAGATTTACTAATGTATCTGAGCTACTGGAATCACAATTCTGTTTGACATATGTTTCCATGTGCCTAAGGACTCATTTTTTCTTTCTGTATAACATCTAGCTATACCACTTGAAACAGGTGCTTCAAGTACCACACTTTGGGAAATATTGCTTTATAACCTCTCATTACGGATCAATCTAATCAGCCAGACTTTCTCACCACCATTGACACAATGTGTTACTGCGTCATACTAAAAATCAAGTGAATCAAATAATTCTTGCCCATTTTCAGTCTGAAGTATGAGCAGCAAAATACTATAGCAAGTAATCTTGTTTTTTTTTTTAAATGCTCTTCTCATGTAACAGTAAAAGGTACATGTTTTAAGTTCCAATAATACTGTATTTAACAGGACATTTTAACTGATTAAAATCTAGATCTTGGGTTCTTCTCTGTAACCTTTCACCTTTTTTCTTTCCTTATTCCTTCTTTCCTGTTTCTTCCTTTCTCTTTTTCCTTCCCGTATTCATCCATCACTCATTTTTACTTGTGTGGGATGCATGCTCTATGGGTGCTATCGCAGCTTTAAGAGCTTTTTTGCTAGAAGATTCAGTGGCCTGTATTACAGGACTCTTCTTTTCCTTTATTATTATATTTTAATTACTATTAGATTTCCATATATTTTCTAATGATAAGTATTGAATAGCTAATGTCAGCAGAGTGAAAACAGTATTTTTTGAAATTTCCAAATAAGATACCTAAAAATATCCTGTATTAACATTTGTATTTGTTATGTCTATAAGTATATAGACATATATGACATTCGTATACATATATCCAAAAATATTGTAATACATGTTTATAAAGGTAAAACTCAAAGGAAAGCACAGCTACTCATAAAAATGCAAAATTTTTTCAGCAAATGAAATCAAAATGATTTTAAACAAAAGTCAGAATTAATGTGTGTGACTACTTTGTATTCTCAGAAGAATGCAGCAAAATGACTAAGTGGTGATGGATTTCTTGTTAGAGTTGCATTCCATTTGGTGAAAAATAAGAATGTATGTCAATATATTCAGATTAATATATGTATTATTTTAACTCCTTTCCAACAGTTTTTCTTTGTCCTGGACTACTAAAAGGAGTTTACCAGAGTGAACATTTGTTTGAGTCCGACCACCAATCTGGGGCATGGTGCAAAGACCCTCTGCAGGCTTCTGACAAGATTTATTATATGCCCTGGACCCCCTACAGAACTGATACCCTGACTGAATACTCATCCAAGGATGACTTCATTGCTGGAAGGCCAACTACAACCTACAAGCTTCCTCACAGGGTGGATGGCACAGGATTTGTAGTATACGATGGAGCTTTGTTCTTCAACAAAGAGCGCACCAGGAACATAGTAAAGTTTGATTTGCGAACTAGGATAAAGAGTGGAGAGGCTATCATAGCAAATGCCAATTACCATGATACTTCTCCTTACCGTTGGGGAGGCAAATCTGACATAGACCTGGCAGTGGATGAGAATGGGCTATGGGTCATCTATGCAACAGAACAAAACAATGGTAAAATTGTCATTAGCCAATTGAACCCTTACACTCTACGGATTGAAGGGACATGGGATACTGCATATGATAAAAGATCAGCTTCCAATGCTTTTATGATTTGTGGGATTCTGTATGTGGTCAAATCTGTATATGAGGATGATGACAATGAGGCCACGGGGAATAAGATTGACTACATTTACAACACCGACCAAAGTAAGGATAGTTTGGTGGATGTACCTTTTCCCAACTCATACCAATACATAGCAGCCGTGGATTACAACCCCAGGGACAACCTTCTTTATGTATGGAATAACTATCATGTCGTGAAATATTCCTTGGATTTTGGACCTCTGGATAGTAGATCAGGTAAGTTTGACTTTTGGTGGTTCTTGAGGGGGAAAATATTTAGTTTGTTCTCAGTAAATTTATTGAACATTTTGATTGGACGAGCCTATGTACCTGAAAAATGTTTCATCGTCTTTTCATCTGAAAAAGTGTTGCTGTTCATTAACCATGTTCAGCTCTAAAAAAGTATAAGGAACTGATGTGTTTTACCCTTGTGCAACTATTCTTTGGCCCTTCTTTGAAGGGCATTTTCATTATCAGCTAGTAATTCTTTGTGTAGTGAAGTACGTGGAATCTTTGCTAAAATAGAATGATATCCCATCTAATTAATTATGACATGCTCTCAGAAATGCTCTTAGATTTAGCTTGTATTAATGCTTCAGGAGTCCTACACCAATATATTCACATTGTAGAAAGCATCATATATGGCCACTTCTATTGGCAACATTGTCAGTTTGAGTGTTCATATATCTGAGGGTACCTACTTGATATATACAGAAAATATTTATAAGTGATAAATACAGAAAAAATAGATCTCAATTTTATAATAAAAACAATACAAAACATAACTTTGAGTAAACACAAGATAATCTTTAATCCCATTCTCTAAGAGTGTCTTTTTCATCTATAGGACATATTGTTCCCTTTTCATGTTGTTCAAAGACAATCATAGTTTTCCCTTTAAATTTTTACTTCTATAACTGAGTTGTATTAGTTTAGAAGCTAAATTATTTTAAACTAGAAATCATACTATTCCTCATTATAAAGTATTATGGAAAACTAAGATACAGGTGTCTGAATTTTGATAATATAGCAACTCGAAGTTTATTTTTTTTTCTTTCAGTGCTTACATGTTAATATTTATTTTCTCTATTGCTTTTACAATGATTTTATTAGCAAGTCATTCTTCCTAACTTAGCTCATTTTTTACATATTTTCTTATACAACTAGATTCTAAGTTTCATATGGCCAATAACTTTGTCTTACCCATCTTTTATTATATTTTTATTTGACCATTATTTCTACCTTCTCAGACACTAGTGTAATATGTGGCATATATGAAATAAAGCCTCAATAACTCTTTGTTGAATGAATGAATGTATGAATGAATGAATGAATGGTTTCCACTTCTTACTGTGACAGAATGCCAAATTAGGTGGTGTTTTCTCTAATCCATGAGAGGCTTCAGTCAGAGTGACAGCAGCAAAAGAAACTTCTCCATACTAAGTTCTCAAAAGATCTCATAAACTAAGTGCGTTATCTGACTCACCTCTGTACTGGTAGGGTTTCTCAATCCAGTGCACCCTTCAGTTGAAAACCTAAGCAAGAGTCAATCATCTGGAATATTGAAGAAAGGTAATTCATCCAGAATAAGAGCTGTAATATTCTTAACCATTATTCTTATTTAGAATAATAAATAGCTTAAAATTAATTATCATTCCGGGGTTTTATTTGATGCACTGAAGCAAACTCCTAACTTAGTTTTAATAAATTGTTCTTAAAGAGTATTTAGAGACTTGCCCCCCAAAATATTTCTAGCATATATTAATGAAGTTATGTGTATATTAATATATATGATAAATCAATGTAGTTGTGGACATACAGAAAATTATACCATTTAATTTCGTTTATTTGTGGGAGTTAACATATGAACCATTTGCCTATGTGTTTTAATGCTCACATTTCTTTAAAGGATGTTATTAAAATGACAAACATTGAGAAATGATAAAGTTCAGCTTTTGAAAGAAATTCCTAAGTTAGCTAGGAGATTTAGTTTTTACTTTTTTAAAACAACACAAAAGACCTCTGTTTTGCAAAGTATGAGTTTTTAACTTTATTAAATTTGTTAATATAACTATAAGAAAAAGTATCATTTTCATGCACGGATGCTCAAATTAAAAAGTTGTTACCTTGGTGTGAATTTACTGCAGTTTAGAGGTAGAAAGAATAAGTGTGGGAAGTAAATTTTATACATGATATGTGTGGATATGAGAATTTCAATTAACATCAATAAAGGCTGTTCATCTTATTCCACACAGACAGTTCAGCTGGGTGTTTTTCTTTAGTAAATCACATTGACATTTTTCAAAGAAATTGCCTTTAGTGAATTCTTATTATGGATCTCCTTATGTGTCTATCTATGGAAACCAACTTACTGTAAATATGTTAGGGTCAAAAAGACTAATTCTGAGTCTGTAGATCTAAAATGTATTTACTGTTGCCATCTGTTGGAAGCAGGCTGAATATTTTTGCTCCGATTTTAAGTAAGTTCTAATCAATGGAAATTCACATTTTTGCTGTTGTTTTTGTGACAGGGTATCTGTGTTTTACTTCTTCGAGATATAACTATTCTGTACATTAACAGATCTGGGCATTGGAAGTTAAGAGACAATTAGGCTTCTCTTGCATATATAAAAATCCTCTGATAAAGCATACATGCAGGTAGCATACTGCTTCTGAACATGAGCTTGGGAGTCCAAAGAACTTGGGTTTCAATTCTTCCTCTAATGCTTCTTTGTGAACAGGTTGTTCAGCCTCTTGGTATTTGTTTCAACTACAAAATGAAAAAAAAAAAGAAAACACAAACACCCAGCTCAGAAGGTTATTGTTATATTTTAATGAGATACCTCTAATAGGCCCAACAAACTTAACCTAATAGCTACGTATCAACCTACAAGGACCATTATTATCTACATTTTCTAAATGAGGTATCTAAAGTGCTATAGCTCATATCAATTACTCAAAAATCACCCAGCTATTAAAGTGCAGCCTGACTTCAGATTCATATTCTTTTCTTTGGCACTAGTAGTGGAAAGATGCTTACTGAGGCTGTGTGTCTAGATTCATTCACTGGATAGAAATGATATCAATATCCCCATGTGTCAAGCACTCTGTAAATGCAAATCTAATTTGTAGCTCTCACACTTAGATAATTACCGTAGACTCGTGCTCTTAAAACATTATACCTATTCTTTAACCATGAAATCAGATGTGTATTTTTAACAAAGGTCACTTTTAAATTCTGAAGTGATAAAGTTTAAGGAAGACTATGATGAAAAACTTAGCTTCGCAGAAATATTTTTAAAAAGTAGTTTCAAAAGTCATTTAATTCTAGTTTCTAACTTTCCCTAACATCCATTCTCAAATTGTTAATTGTCTTTTAGGTTGGCTCATATCTTGACACTTATGTTTGTATTCTTTTCAAGGTAAAACATTGGTGGAGTGGTAAATCTGTGAAAAGGGTTGTTTTCAACAACAGCTGTATAAAGAAATTAATTTTAATTTGATTTTTTTAATTGTATTTCAGCTGTTCATTGTTGGTTTCTCCTTAAAAAGTTTTTTAATGGGCCTGTTCTTCTGGATGACATTTTAAAATGTTTAAAATTTGTTCTCATTTTTCTCTAAAAGTGTTTTCAGAACATTATACTCTCATCACTAATTCTATGTTACCTAAGATGCAAGTTTGTCAGCATTTTTGTAGTTTTCCAGCATGAAATTAGTAGGAAAGTGAATCAGAAGTTATTTTATATTGCTATTCACATAGTTTATATTTGCAAATTTTGTAGAAATAATTTTTAAGAATATAGTATATCTCATATGGCAAAGAACAAACAAATGCAAAGAATTTTCAATTTATAAAATACTTTTGTTCAGGAACTAAGACAAATTCACATTGTACTAATCTTATTGATATTGTTTTAGTCTTTTTTGTTTATAAATCCTTATAGAGCACTTGATAAATATGAGGTGATCTGTCAGGGTTTGTTGAATTAGTTAAGAAATGAGTGAATGAATTATAACATATTTTTAAAAGCTTCTTATTCATAATATTATAGGGTGGAGAGTATCAGTCCTAAATTTTGTTTTACTAAGATTGGATGTATGCTTCTCAGGTAGTAATCTTTATTATTTTTCCACACTCTATAATCTAAAAAATTTCTATGTTCACGCCTCCCTGAACAATCCCGATCCTGTCTGACTTATATCAAAAGCTAAGCAGGGTCGGGCTTGATTAGTACTTGGATGAGAGACCACCTAGGAAGATCAGATGCTGTAGGCGTAAAAAATAAAAATTAAGGGATTGTAAACTGACAAGGTCCTTGCAATCTGTGAAGTTAACCAAGGGTTGCCTCACCTAAAAAAATTAAAAAATTAAAAAAAATATTATAGGTCACCTTAGTTATTCCCTACCCCGCCACCCACACATAACTCCTTCCCTTCTTCATTCAGGTTATAGTGCGCTTTAGTAACCTAAAGGAAGTTTAGCAGGTGTTAAGGAGATGTGCCAAAGCACATTAAGACCTATTAGTATACTTTTCTTCCAGAAGTAATTAGAAGAAATTAAAGTCAGTAGTCTTAGGATAGGGAAGAAAGTAAGCAACTGTTCAAAGAATTTTACATTCAGAACATATTCTCAAATTTTTCAGTTGATGAATTGCAGGAATTTCTTCAACTTGGAGAAAATGAAAATTGTATTATATTCAGAAATAAATAACATCGTGTTCTGTTGATAATACATTTAGTGTGCAGAATAGGTGATTCAGTTTTGGACACCTATATCAAAAATGCTTGTAAGCATTAGCTCCTGAGTATAAAATAAATGAAAGTGCTTCCTCTATTTTTTTCTGAACAGAGCACCAAATCTAGAGCTATTAGATCTAAAATTTCTTTTCAAATATACTTTTAAATGAGCATTTTCCCTATCTTATAAAATATGATATAAACTGTACATTCATCATTGCCTTCAATTGTCTGTCTTTTATAAGATATACATTTTAAACCTCCAAATAATACTTAGCTATTTCGTAGGTAACTGAGTGATACCTATGGCATCATAATTTAAAAAAAAAAAATACCTTATATCTTGATCTCTACAGCATAAGGGAATCAAATAATTGCATCACTTGCTTTTAGCTATTATTAGTGACTGATGTTGACTGACCTTAACTATTTAGTTCTTTCTCTCAAACCACCTTGTGCTGAGTTCAGTCTTTGTTAATAAATAGGAGTGAGACATGCGG